TACACAGAGAATAGAGAAGGCAGGCTTTGGTGGTGGTGAGATTCGAATCCACGTCTCTGCGGGGTGATACGTTGGTGACTTTTACTACCGGGCCACCACCACGCGAAGCTGCTGACGGAAACAGAAAAATGAATGAATGCTTGGGGAGTAGTTTTGGTGAAATTTAAAAATAAGCTGATCGCACAAAACATGGAAACCGTTTTATGAGTAGCTCAGCCAAAACCTAAAATGTGAAGCTACATTCAAGTTTTAATTGTTATATATATATATACATATTTTGATTAAAAAAGGCAGACTAAGGCGAATGATAAAAGACAAAACACTCGCTATTGGGGTTCGTTGCCAAAAGTTCTCCCAGTGTAGATCCACGGGATTTGAGTGAGCTTTTTTTTCTTATCAAGAGTTTTAATTTCTACCTTCGACATCGGATAAGTTTGAGAAGGATATCCGATCGAATCAAATGGAACTGGAAAACTACGCAGTCTGTTACAGGAGTCCAGATATAAATGTCTGTAGTTTTCAGCCCTTATAAACAGATTGCTTTCCAAATCAGAGTAGTGTTGAGGACTTGATCCGATTAAATCTGGATGACATTTGCGTACAGAACAAATGCGGTATGAACTAACGTGCTACGAAGCACGGTTCCACTGCGTCAACCTAGTTAGTTCTCATCAGCAGCTGGAATGCTTAAATCCAAACTGAGAATCGTGCAATCGAGACCCCACAACTATACTATTATCCCTTGAACCACTAAGCAGCTGATTTTTTACTCTTTCCTCAACCGATTTAACGCAATCCATCATTGCAAGCTTGTTGCAAGCATCACACCTGGTTCATCTCAGCCCCGTCTTTCAAGGTTATGACGCGCGATTTTGAACATTTCCAATCTGGCTGCTTTTTATATGAGATCTTCAATTAACTTTTCACTTGTTCTGTACACGATTGGTGAGTGGCCGCATAAGAATTAGTGATAACAGAACTGCAGTGACAGACATGTGTGAAACGTCAGGTAAATTGAAGGACAGGAGGAATCGCACTAATGAGGCAAATCAGATGGTTGGTAATTGTTTTCTCCGCAATACACTAAGCAATTGGTAATTCGAATTTCAGTAGCTTTAAAATTTCTTTATACAACTTTAAAGGCGCTAGCTGCTATGATAGAGACGACGCCAGGCAGTGGTGGAGTGTGGAGTAAGCATTGTGTGGACGATATCCGACAGCAAAATATAGAATAGCGAAGAGAAACTAGGTAAAATGCAGGGCACTGGGGGTAATCGAGATACAGAAGCAATGCATGACTCTCTCATTTCGTCCTGGAGAAGTTTGAAAAGATTGAACAGTGCTTGGTTCACTTACTTCGGATAGGTGCAGTTAAAATGGGTAGAAATTTTACAA